AATGTGTTGTTTAGCAGCTCCATGGACTTTACCTCAGTGCCCCCAAAGATGAGAGGGCTACATGTGTCAGTTTCTGGATCATCACTTTGGGCAGTGTGCTGGGGTTGGGCACACCTGGGCCACCTCCTCCTCTCTGGGGGGGCACTGGCTTTTGTATCCTTCCTAGTCAGATATAATGTGTGTGTGTGTGTGTGTGTGTTTCCCTGTTGGCTACCAGGATGAAAGTGGGGAGCCTAGGAGGGTGGAGTGGGGTTGTTGGATGGACTGGGAGCAAGTAAGTGCTATCAGAAGCATCCAAAGATTCACCTCTTCTGGCCACTTGGAGGAGTGTGTTGTTGGTTTCTTTGAATGGGGACTTTTAATCAGGGGGACAGAGAGTCAGATCAGGTCAGAAGGATCTGGTGGAACCCTCCTTTTTCCTATTATGACCTCTTGCTATTATGCACTGCATTTTTGTATTAACAATAACAACCTTTATTGGGACTGAGACATTTCTTCTCAGAAGTCACTAAACCGTACTAAAGTCAGAGACAAGCTTACTTTTTGAGTTTCAATATATTTATAACAGTTCACAGTTCCAAGCTATTAAATCCTATGCAAGGCTTAATTCCACATGGATCTAGAAGATGGATGCTGTAGAGGAAATGCATTCATTATAAGGATCCGTTCAACAGAGTTCCATAATGTAGAGAAAGCTTGAAAAATTGGAATTAATGCAAATCACATTACATGTATCAGAAAGAGTCTTTTCACAAGACTGGCTCATCCTCATCTTAAGGAATCCGCTCTTCCTGAATGTCTGATCTCAGCTTTACTGAGAACAGGACATGATTTCTACGTGTAGCATAGAGAATGAGAATCATCCTCTCTCCCAACTGTAAAAATAAACATGTATTCTCTTGCCCTCTCCTGGCTTCAGTTTAATTTAATGTAACTAAATTGAACCTTTCTAATTTAAGACCCAAGTAAGTGTAAATAAGAATAAGACATCAACTAGAAGCAAAGTTGGGAATCTGTATCAAGTAATGGCAAGAAATTGCTTTGGACAATTCTCATGAAATAGGGAAGAGATAGGATTCCTGCCTTGTTGTCTATGGGATTAGTTGTCAAAGGGAGATTTCAGGGCTTTTCTCACTTGAAGACCAGCCTCCAGGGCTTAACTCCATCCAGACACCATATAAACTCTATCATGAGAAGTCTGCGGGATTCTTTGTGGATAAGAAAATTCATATTTAGGACAGACATTATGTCTAGGTTTTACTATCTGTTTCAGTTAGTGTAGTTACTTGTCTCTGCAAAAAGGGCATACGATTTTATCTGCCCCCAGCTTGGTTTATGAGGGTGACCAAGGATTTCAGTTTGACAACATCCATCAGATCAGTAATACCTGTTTTTCACCCTGCCCCTTTAGAGGAGGTGTGGTGAGGACATGTTGCAAGGTTTTGGAATGGGTGCAGGAGGGGGGATTGCAAATGCCTGCAGCCATAAACACATTAAAGTCCAGCATATACTTTTATAGCAAGAGATGGAGTAATATATTGATCTGTGTCATTCACTGACATTGAAACAGCAAATAAAGCAACTATATTAGAATTCTATGTTGTATATTCTCACAGACTACATTTTTGCTTAATAAATGGATTCCCTCTAGCAAATATACTGTATGCTG